CATCTCCCCTTCCCACCTGCGTTCGGCTCGCTCTGCGCTTAACCGCAGCATCTGGGGGGACCCCTTCCCTGAGACCCCGCAGCCGACGCGGGAGCGCGCCCCGCGCCCGGCGTGACTCTTACCGCTTTCGCACCGCAGCGGTGGAAGGCTGGATTCTCTTCGTCACGGGAGTCCACGAGGAGGCGACGGAAGAAGACATCCACGACAAATTCGCAGAGTACGGCGAGATAAAAAACATCCACCTGAACCTCGACAGACGGACGGGCTACCTGAAGGTAGGAGGGGGTGCTCAGCGCGGCTGCGCTTGCCCCTCGGCGGTTTCGCCGCCTCCATTTTGGCTTACGGGGCGTTCGAACTCATCCAGCCGGCAGCGGCTGGGTGTGACAGGCGCTCGCGCTTTCCCCTTCCCCGGCTCTGCCGCGGAAGCCGGGATGGAGCAGGGTTCGGGGAGGGATTACTCCCGGGCCTGGCTCTGCCGCGGCTCACGCTGCCTCCCTCCCGCTCCTTAGGGATACACTCTGGTCGAGTACGAAACCTATAAGGAGGCGCAGGCGGCCATGGAGGGGCTGAACGGCCAGGAGCTGATGGGGCAGCCCATCAGCGTGGACTGGTGCTTCGTGAGAGGGCCCCCGAAAGGGAAGAGAAGGTAAACCTCCCCGCCGCGACCCGCGGCCCGGCGCTGCGGGCCCTCCCCGTCTTTCTTACAAGCCCCGTTCCGTATCGAGCGGCCGCCGGAAGGGCTCCCCGCAGCCGTCTCCTCCCCACATGCCCGTCCTCGTAGCAGAGCGCTCTTAGATCGTGGCCCGAGGGCCCCAGAGCCGGACGCGGTGCTGCAGGGGGGTCTCACCCGAGCAGAGTCGAGGGGTCGAGTCCCCTCCCTCCTCCTGCTGGCCACGCCGCTGGTGAGGCAGCCCGGGAGACCGTCGATTTTCTGGGCTACTAGCCCACCTTGTCGGCTCACGTCCAGCTTCTCGCCCACCGGTACCCCCAAAGTCCTGCTCCTGCCCCCAGCTCTGCCTTCTCTTCCAGGGGCGGGCGCCGACGGAGCCGGAGTCCGGACAGGAGACGCCGATGATGGATTCTCATTTCTACCCGTGCGTTCTGAGTCTAAACTGGGGGAACTGGGAGGGGAACTGGGTGGGTTTGTACGTTGGGGACGGGGTATTTGAGGAGTAAAACAGTTCATCGCTTTGGTAAATTTGCTTCTTACCAGATTTTATTGTTTTCCGACAAGAAAACTCGAGGGAAGAAGCAGCGCCTGAGGTTTCGGGGGTTATTTTCGCTTGTGTTTGTGGTGAATGCAGCCCCCGAGCCCGGTTACGTCTCAAACCGCGACGTTTTTAAGCATTTTGTTACGCTTGCGAGTGACACGGCGGTTTGGCCGCTTTTCTTTTGGAGAGAAGTTGTTTTCTAGACCCCAGGCAAACGTTCCTTAAATCTCCCGAGGCGTTTATTCCATTGACTTGACGTTTGCGAGTGAACTCGGCCTTTTCAATAACTCTGTTCTTGTGTAAATTTGTCCTCTCGTTATTTGTCCGTAATTAAACATTCTGAGAAGCTGTAACCCAGCCCCAGGGCCTTTCGTGCCTCTTTGCTCATTTTAGCTTTGCCTATAATCAGTCGATGTCACCGTCACGGCTGCTGATCTCGGGGCTGGCAGTAGAACGACTTATTAGTTGGGAAAAAAACCCCCAAAACATTTTTCCTTAAAATAATGCTTGGAAGAGACGGCGTTAGCCGTGCGCTGTTCTCCCGCAGCCGGCGGGCTTTCTGCGTGGCTTGGCTCTGGTAGCGTTGAATTCTGCCCCTGCCGCCGGCGCAGGTGACGGGCCCCGTTTTAAATCCAATCTATAATTTTTTTCTTTCTTTTAAATGCATTTTTTAAAGGAATTCCTGCCCCAGATTTTGCTCTCCGCGGGGCGCCTTAGCCCTCCTCGCGCGCTGCCGGTGCCGTTAAAGCCCCGCCCGGCGCAGAAACGTGCCGGTTGATGCCGCAGTGCCGGCTGCGGTTAAACCATCCCTCGGCCCAAAGACGAGAAAATCACCTGGAGTTTATTGTTGAGCGGCTTTGTGGTGGCGCAGAGCCCCCGCGTCGCCCCCCAACCCGCTTTTGGGGGCTCCCCTTGCTCTGCCGTGGGTCCAGCCTGGCCTCCGCGTCACAGGAAGCTCTCC